TCTGCTGATTTAATGTGGCTTGACTGCATTGACCACATCAAAGTCTTGATCTTGATCTTACCCTAAAACCCCTGAGACTCTCGTACACCCGAACTCACCTACCCCAAGTTCTTAAGGAAACTTTTCTGCGTATTGACGAGGAGACATCAAGTCCAAAATGAAGTGGCCAAGGGTTTAGGGTTTAGCGATATAAGGTGTTGCAAGACAAAAGCCATAATGCACACCATCCTGAATGAAGGCCATTGACCCTGTGCCAATAGAAACTGCAAGAAAAAGGTCAGACCAGACATCCTGATTCCTTCTGTTGTCATTGCCATCACATGAAACTTCCTTAGGCTCTGAGAATACACCCTCAACATGAAATTCCATGTCTCCTTCGGGGTGCAAACTCCAGATGCTGGCCTCTAGTGGCCCGACATGAGCACGGCCGTGGTAGCAGACGCGCAGACGGTATTTTGCTGCTCGTCTGTCTCCAGGCCTGAAAACTGGACCTGGTCAGGGACCCCTCAGTAAGGTACGGGGGGAAGGCTCATAGGGCATAAGCCTTAAACCCTTTGCCCCAAGTCCTCAACCCTACCCTTAAGAACAGCTAAGCCTTGAAAACCTTGAAAGCTGAAGGCCTGGGCCTTGTAGATCCCAGAACCCTAAACTCAAGCCCTCAGGAAGGATGCAGTCCTCCTCACCTAGATAGAATATGGAGTTCCCCAAGATCATACCAAGATCTCCATACAGTATACTCCAGGACTACCATCCCAAACACAAACATGTAATCGACGTGGGCGTGAAGGTTTTTCGGAATATCCCTCCTAGAGTGCTCAAGTAAGTACAATCCCCTCATAGTCCCTCTATGTCACAGGGGTTGCTGGGAGTCCCCTGTTTTGAAAAAATCCCATGATTATGTTGAGAAGCTTAGGAGGAAAGTATGCCCGGTGCAACCTGGATGTGCAATGTTCACTTTTTGGATATGTCTACCTACGTGAGGAACCTCAAGCCGTGGCTATAGCCGACGGTCCACGATTGGGATGCCGCCTACGAGCATGTTTTTTTGTTTACGTCCTTGGTCTCCGTACTGCTTGGGGGGCGCGGGTTGTGTGTAGTAACTGAAGGTGCTTCAACACCAATGTAACCAACGCAGCAGGTTGCTTTTAATTAGCGGACTCATTGTCAGGCTATGTAGATTGGATGCAGCTACCACCGTAAATCCTACGCAGCTAAAAATCCCCAAACAGGCACATCCAAAGTAAGGCCTGCCAACAAAATGACAAGTATTCCTCGCGCCTTGATGATTCCCGTGTTCGCAGCATGGAACTTCTTCCGCCATATCCTGGCCGCGCCACAGGTAACATGTAAGTTGTAGGGCCAGGCCCGAGCACAGCTCCCATGCCTAGTTGATGTCTTCTTTCACTCTTCAAACGTTTTTAGGGGGTGTGGTTCAAGGGGTAGGGTGCCATTACTACGGTTTCTCGTCAATGAACGATCAGGTGTTGCATGCTGCGAGTATGAGATGCATTCCTCAGGAACTGTAACTATGAAGCCTGCAACTGATGCAGCTGCATATGATCCTGACGCTTTCAAGCAGAAGCATGAACCTCTCAACTCTGGTCAAGGCGAGCTGAGTCCCAAATCCTCTTGGTATGCATAGCCAGACCATACCCAGCCCTAAACCCAATAAATGGCTAAATGTTCTAGACGACCTATAAACCCAGTTTCCATACCAATGTTCAATTCCACTTGACTTTCCACTATTGCATCCTACTATATCCTAAGGGATTTGGGTGGTTGTCAAAATCATGGTCCCTTTTTGGGTACCCTAAATATTAGAAGCCGTATTATAATAGGGATCTAAAAGGGGACCATCATTTTGACAACCACCCATTTAGCTCTCAACCGTAAGGGCTCAGGCAGAGTCCTGGTAGCACCAGCTTGGTCTTGGCCGGCAAACTTCAGGAACGTGGCCTGCTCTGATCCACAAGGCTAAACCCGAAACCCTAAACCCTTCAGGGTGTTAGGTTCGAGGGTTTGAAACTACCCTGAACCCTTCAGGGTGTTAGGTTTTAAGATGTTTTACGGTTTGGGATGGTTTTAGCTAGGATCCCTCTTGTCGTTGGTGGTTACCGGCAGAAAATGGCTGAAGTACATACATAATGAGGATATATAGGGGTACATGGGAATTGTATAGCGCTATATGGGTGTATACAGGAAAAGAATATAATGAAAACTTATATAAATGGAAGCGGCAAAAGCAACATGAAATCAAAAATGGAGGTTGGCATTATAGGCCCTTGAGTCTAGGTTTGTTTTGCCAGCAGTCAGTAGGGAATGAAGGAATGGAAAATGAAATGCAAACTACTGTTTTTCTCTTGTGTTGTACAGCTCTAAAGCACCATTCATCGAGCATCTAGACCCTAAACCCTCACTTAAAAACCAAAGAGACGTTGTTTTCAAGAGCCCGCCATGTGTTCCGGGACACACGCAGCGAACAAGGACAGCGGCGTTTAAGGAGGAAGCTTGGGCCTGAAGAGGGTTCAGGGTCAATAAAGGGATTTTACTGGGAGCCCCAAATAGGGAACCCCAAGAATATAGTAGGAATATAAGAGAATATAAGGACCCTGCCAGGTATGTTCCGATTATATTGCCACTATATTCTTGGGATTCCCTATTTGGGGTTCCCAGTAAAGTCCCTTTAGTCTAGGGTCTAGGGCCAGTAAACTGCAATAACCCAAAGCCCAAAGCAAGGTCAGTTGGGGATTATGTTCTATATAAACCACCACTTGAAATTAGGTGGGGTGAGGTTGCGGTAATTCGGCTGGCTATAAGAAGACTTATCATGGGCAACCTGGTTGAAGGCTATCTTATATGAGCCGTAGTCTAAGCGCCTAGTATCAGTATCTCCTTTTATAACTCCTATAAGGCTCCTCTACATAACCCCCTTTAAGAAGTTTAGACTATAGCTCATACAGGGTTTAGTGCTTACGGTTGAGGGTTGTATTCTAAAGCATGTCTGCTAGCTCCAGGCTTGGAATTCCAGATGATGGTAAGCAGGCAGCAGCTTCACCCTGTCCTGTACACGTTATGTGAGCTACAGTCTAGACTCTTAGCATCCCCCTTAATTATAATACTCCCCATTTCTATATAATCCCCTAAATAACCCCCCTAAACCCTGAACCCTAGACCCTTTACCCTAAACCCTAATACATCCATTCCTACGGCGCCTTACTGATCTGAAGCAGCTCACAGACCGTCGCTGTCTGCACTGTCAGATACCTTGGTCCAGACCGCACTTTTTAGGCTTTGGGTTTAGGGGCCTTAGGGGTTTAGGCTTTGGGGTTCAGGGTCTAGGCTTTGGGGGTTTAGGCTTTGGGGTTTAGGGTCTAGGCTTTGGGGGTTTAGGCTTTGGGGTTTAGGGTCTAGGCTTTGGGGGTTTGGGGCTTAGGGACAGTGATCAGTTTGTCTGTCAGAGCCTGCCAAGTTTGCGAAGCTTCTATGGGAACGGCTTAGGATTTATGATTTATAGAGCTGCGAAGCAGTGCCCCCTCAAAGATTTGATTAGCTTGGCTTAGGCTTCAGGACTGCAGAAGTTCGAGCAACATCTTCAGCATGTTATAGGATTGTATTAGGGGTTATATAGGGATAATGGAAAAGAAAATGGAACTATAGGGGTTATAGGAATTGTATAGGGTTAGGATTATACTAAGACCCAAGTACTTGGAAAACGAAAGTCATGGGCATGCAGGACGTTGATGTTTGGCGGAGAGGCTCAATGTAGGAGGAGAAAGGCTGCCTCCTCAACTGGTTTAGGGTTTCGGATGTAGAGTTTAGGGTTTCTCCTTAGACCCTTAGCCCCTTTGGGATCCCCTTATACTCCTGAGGGTTTCGGGTTTAGGGTTTAAGGTTTAGGTTAACCCTTTCCTCAACATCATTAACAGTAAGAAGCAGAATGAACGTACTTGCGGGGGTAGGAAAACCACGATGCCCATAGCGCACACAAGTAATGAAGCCAAACGGATGAACGTAATCAACATGTGACAGCAAATATAGCGGTAATAGTACGAATGATAAACATGACATTACTACTCAGAATGATATGGATACCAAGAACAAGTAGAAAACAGGGAAACTTGACATCTCCGAGCACTGGCTACTCCGTGGCAATTGCAGAACCTTGCAGAACCTTGAAGTAAGCCAATTTGGAGGGCTGTTTTCTACGTTAAGCCGCCGGGATGAGGTGGCGTGAGGGCGCTTTCATTTGCCCAGCTACACCTCTTCATACAGTCCCTATAAACAAATACAGCAGCAACTGAGTTTTCATGTCAGTTCCCATGTTCATTTCCCTGTATTCTCCATTATTCCTAAACCATCCTAAACCCTCTATGCCGCTACGTACCCCTATAGAACCCTAAATCCCCCCTATGCCAACCCTATAAAAGTATTTCCATGAGCAAGTAGCGATCTGTATGGCTCTGGTGTTGTCAAGGTCTCTTGATCAACGATCGTCGGCACGATGCCTGCAGGAAGGAAGCAGGGCTAAAAGGGAACTGAACTCTTCCCCTCCCCCCATCCCTTTTTGAAGGATGTAGGGGCAGCATCGGGATGAGGATGTCGGGATTAGGCGTCAGGGTTCAGGAGATTAGTGCTCAGGGTCTTCCCCCTAAGAAGAACCCACCCTTACAATGATAACTGCTTTGTAGCGGTCACCACAATTGCAGCAGTAAACAGTGACACGGGTTCATTAGCCGCAAAAGATACTCACTAAAGCATCTCTTGTCATCGTCAAGCAAATGGCCCTTGCAGTAACCACGGCAAAGTCACAGTACTGGCCTCAGCAGTAAGAAGTTAAATGGTGTCCTGAAAAATGTTTATCAAAACAGTCGATTAATACACCCTTTCTGGGAACCGGGCCCCTGTATCGTGTAAAAAAGATGCTAGGCTGGATAAGACAAAGGGTTTAGGGTTTATTGTATTTTAGGTTTGGGGCTCCAGCATCAGCGTCCAAATAGACCTTAACCAAGAAAGTCACCGCTCGACTTGCTGCGGTTAGTGGTGAAGAAAGGAGTGGATGCATGCTTGAAGTAGGCAGTGATCCCTGTACACCTGCTTTTCCGTTCTTCCCTGTTCACTGCTTGCGGGTACTCAATATTCTGTTTTTTTGTGGAGTCCGCAGCTTTGGGGCTACTATGCAGCAACCCAATTTCTCCGCATCATGCTGCTACCCGTGACGCCATGCCTCCTTCTGAGTTCATGATTCTGTCGCCATTCTCCTCGGCGCGCTTTGGCAAGAAAAGTGTGTTGTTTGCCATGACGAAGCATCGGTTCCACAGCGAGTTGGAGAAGATGGGTATGTCTGGGGATCCTTCTCCTATCGTTTAGACTTACATCCCAGAGAATAAATCGTGAGCGCTGGCTTCCAAACCCTGGGCCCCCACTCCTAGATCCTTAGCCCTAAGCTCGCAGTGCTCAACCTGATGACCCAAGACCTGAACCCTTTTTTTGCATGTGGACTTTGAGCTGCCGGCCAAATAAAACCTGAACCCTAAAACTTCAATCCTTGACCCTAAACCCTGGCACCTGATATAACCCAAATGAAACCCCCATATTACCCCAACTCAACCCCAATATAACCATAATATTACCCCAATATTCCCCCGACGAACAACTTCGAGTCCATCTCCAAGGCTCATCCAGGAGCTGCAGCCGTCCGGAACACTTGATCCATGCGTACTCCGCCACCTGCCACTTGGAGGGTCAGGGGGACTTAGTAACTAGGTTGATAAGTAGGATATCTAGGGCTACTATATAATCTGGATTATAAGATTTATTGACCTACTTGCTAAGTCCCCCTGACCCTCCAAGTAGTCTTTCTGAGGCGATTGCTTGTCTGCGCTCCCAGCACTTCGGATGGGCTTAGGGCTTAGGGCTTCTTGCTAGGAAAAGTGCCACTTGTGTCGTGTTCCTGCAACACCATTGACAGTAATGTCGAATCCCAATTCGTGTGGGGGGCTCTGACTTGTGCCAAGCCTCGGCGAAATTATTCAGCACCCTTCGATCCATTTGGGGGGTGCTGATTGGCGCGAAGTCGCGCGGCCCTAAATATTTTTTGAATAGGTAATGGAAGGAGGCCTTCTCAAATACTTTGAAAGATCTTCTGAAATCTTTCTAGAAACCTTCTCAGCACCTTCTGAGACCTTTTTGAATTCCCGCTGCCCTCCTGAAACCTTCTGAATTCTGAAGCCCCTCTGAGCCTTTACCTGAGCCCACCTCGATGCCTCCTAAGGAATTTATACCTTAAAGCTAGAATCTAAATTCGTTTGGGCGGGACCTGCCCTTCCTGAATAGGAACCCATTTTCGTTTGGGGGTGGGGTCCCCCTACGCTCACCAGGATCCAAGATTACAGTTCTGAATCTAGTATCTGTAGGAGGAATTTGCCGGGGAGTTGTGAAGCCTGAAACCTACAGCAAATTGTCCCAAGAATATTGGGGGCTTTCCGGGGTACAGTTTTGGGGGTCCCAGAACAAGGATTATAGTTTTGTGAGGTCTATATTGGGGTCAACCTATTTTAGGAAAGTACCATTCAAACCCATCCCAAGTGAAGTCAATTGAAGCCTAAACCCTGTAATCAGTCCAGCAAACCCTGAAAGCAAAGCCATTCAACCAAAAGATCCGGCAAGCCATTTGGCTATAGTCCCCCTGAAGTAGATTGAATATGCGGGTATATGGGGATCTTATTATAATGTACCCAAAGCCATATTCTATCTACTTAAGGGGGACTATATTACTACTTACCCGTAAACCCTAAACCCTAAGTAGTAGTTTCCATTATCGCGTTTTCGACCCAATATTCTACTTAAGGGGGACTATACCCCTAAAGCTCCGGCAAGCCATGGGGTACTCTGAACACCAGAAAAGCCACCAAGAACTACGAGCCATCCCGGTTAGACTCTCAGCCCAAAACCCAAACTCCAGAACCCTATGACTATCTCTGCCACCAAGAAACCCTAAACCTTAAAACCCCAGAAGTTGGGTGTAGGCCGTTATCAAAAACCTAGTTATAGTAGTGGCATCATAGTGATGGACAGAAAGCTTATATGAACCATAGACTGAACTCCTAATATCCCCCTTAATAATCCCAATAGTAGTCCCCTATATAATCCCCTTTATAACCCCCTTTAAGGAGTTTAGACTGTAGCTCAAATAATGCTCACCATCACTCTTGTGGTCACTATTGGTGGGCGTGGGTCTGACCTCGCCTTGAAGCTGTAAGACCTGCACCTGAAAGCCCAAAATCCTAAACCCAGAGCCCCAAGTCCTAAACCCTAGAGCCAAAGTCCTAAACCCTAAGCTCTAACATCCTAAGCCTAAACACCCACCCCACCACACACACACACCCCCCCAGAAAAAAAAAAAGAAAAAGAAGAAGAAGAAGAAAAA